CTCTAAGTATTCTTCGGGTGTGGTTTTCTGCTGAGATGATTTTCCAATAGCTAAGAAAGGCAATTATTACCTTTACAGCACAGTTCATCGCTTAGGTCTCCACAGTCATTGATTCCGTCACAGGTTTTGCTCAAAGAAATGCACTTGGCGTTTGCACAAGTAAACTCATCAGCCGAACATTCTGTGCAGCAGGATGAAAGCAAAGTTAGTGTGGAAATGCCTGTAGGTTCACAGCTGCCCAAGGAAATTCTCAGCTTACACGTTTTATTCATTCAATTGTTTGGCCTGTCAACAGTTGGCGTTGTGGGACCTGGTAATGTACAGAGGAGTCCTTTTTAATCCTTTTCATTGCCTCCTCTTCAAACTTTCAATGTGACCACTTATTTTCTACCTCCATCTTTCAGTAGCCTGGCAGAAGTGAACTTTATTGCTTGTAGACAGGGATTAAATAAGAGGCTCAAACGCCCTGTAAATGATTTATGTGATTAAGGTGATGCATGTTCCCCCTCTTGAAGGAACTCATCAAGAGTCTCCAAGCTGCTTCTGTGGCACAATTAAAAACTGAGACAAATCATAGCTTTCGGGCTGACTGATGCTTATCAATGCCAAAGAAGTCACACTACAGGGACAGGAAAGCTGTTAGAAGTCAGAACAAAGACTTGATTCCTGCTTGTAGCAGTGAGAAACCAGAGGAGCCCCAGATGTGCCAGGAAGACACTAGCAGTTCAGTTCCAGTCCCACTTGTCTGGCTATATAGGACTGACATCCTAATTGATCTCTCTGATAGACCAAGCAAAGAGGAGGTCATCACCTGTCTCCTGACGAGTTAACCTGAGAGAGGCAAGACTTGCAGGGTATAATATACCTCAGTGCCTCTGGAATAGATGGGGGAACAACCAGAACCATGGGTGAAATATGTCCACTTTGGGGCATCATCTGCCGAATATTCTAGGAGCAGCAGTGAATTATTTTCCAAGGTCACGAACTCAAGACTGCCTCAGTTATCTTAAATGTTGCAAAGGATTATTTAAAAAGGTTTCATTGCAGGTTTGCGGTGGCTGACAGTTCAACAAAATAGATCCTAACCACAAATACTTAAAATAACATGAAGAACCTTAAATAAATTTTAAACCCCAAACCTACTAACCTCGGAGAGCTTTCTGGCACTGGAGTCTAACAAATCCATCACTATCACTCCTCAGTCTCCTCTTTATAAAACATTCGGCAAGACTTGTCTCTAGGCCCTTGCAAATTATTCGGAAACAGTGTGACGAATTGAAGGTGTATTCTGTGATGTTGAAGACAGTATTGTAATACTCAGCACCTCTGTGAAGAGAGAAATAACAAGTTCTGTAATTTCACAATGGATTAGCCACTGCTTTTATGGTTTAGAATTTATATGATTTTCCCACTGGCTAAGGAAAAAAAGGAACCATCCTGCATGGGACACCAAAACCAATGGATACTGAGGAAGCTCGGGGCACTGCAAGATTGGCATTATTATAAAAGTAAGATACTTATGGCTTGAATAGTTGTTATTTGTGATAAAACAGAGAAATCTGTGGTTTAGCTGTCACTCTCAGGTGTGAATTTAAGAAGGTTTATTGTAGCCAATACATGCTTTCTGATTTTTTTGCCTTAGCAGCTGGCTGTGACTGACCCTTATATAAGCATCACTACTTTCTCAAATCCATTGCAGTTACTGAGAGAGAAATTCCCCAAACTTACAATTCAAAGTCAAGGTGCCTGCAGGCCACATTTGCTTCATTCATAGTCCACTTACTGCCACATACAAACAGGTTCTCCATACTCATAGGTTTTACTTGAAGCAAACCTGAATTCTCATGCTCCGTGATTTTAAATGTTTCTACAAAAACAAAAAAAAATCCAAAAAAATCCCAAATAAAATTATCTTACATAGATGTATTTAGTGGGAAGACCACACAGGAATCAATGAGACATAAAGTATCCAGTAGCCACCCAAAATTCACATGGGAACACCAGTAGGTTGGGACTCAGGAGCTTGATTCTTGATTTTTCTGAGGGCTGACTTTATGACTTTAAGCCTGTCACTTTTTCAAAATATACCAGTTTCAGGAGAAATGAGGATAATGGGTTGTGCCACGTAGGAGTATTGGAGCTCTGCTGAGGAGAGGTTGCGTCTTAGCCTAAGGCTTTCATCAGAGAACTTTTGATAAGCTGCCCCTCCTGCTGGCAGGAGAGGTGGGGCTGGAAGATGGGTAGGAACGGTGCCTGCTGCTGCTGGCATTTGCAGAACCCTTTTTCTATGTACTTAGGCAGAGGCTGAGCTGACAAGGCCAGGGGCTGAAAAGCAGCTTGATGCAGCTTGCCAATGTGCAGATCTGCTGGTTTGTAGGGGAACATCTTTCTGTTCTGATGAAATCTGCAGAGTGAAGACTGAGGTGACCATGCCTTACTTTCTGCCCAGGTACCCCAGCCTGACCTCAGCGGCAGGACTCTGAGCTTTGAGCTCTTTTTCCTTTGTCTATTTCTTCCCTTCCTACCTGATGATTTGAGCAAGCTACCAGCAGCAGCGTAACCTGGGCCTCTCAATCTCTTTATTTTTAAGGAAATCACCAGGTACCGTCAATTTTCAGGACTTGTCACTTTCTGTTTTGTATTTTTACTAGTGCAAGGAAATGAACAAGTTTTCTGAGCTGTGAAAAAAGAGCAAAGCATCCCCTTGGCCAACAATGCCTGCCACATTTGGGAAGAGGAGATATTGGTACCTGTAGGCATGCAGCTGCCCTTGTTCAGAAACTTAGCTTCGGGACGTTGGCACTCGTAGCTCTTGAGGTGGCAGTACGTGCTGAACTGCCTTCCGTTGGCGGAACAAACCAAAGTGCCATTCTTCGGGCACTGGTAGGGAAGCTTACAGAGGCATTTTCCATCCACACAGCGTTCCCATGGGTGACAAAAAACTTTCGCACAGGACTTGTGCGTGTATTTGTTGCTTACGCATTCTTCTATGAGGTAAGTGTCCTGCCCAACTGGCTCAGCAGGCCCAACCTGTGGAAATGGCTCTTCTGTAGAGTAAGGTGTTGGGTTCTGCAAGGCACAAAATAAATAAAAAAAACAGTGAACAGGACTAGGAATCGCACCAACATTTCTGCAGCCCCCCTACTGACATCAACAAAGTGTTTGTAAACCTTTCCCTATCTTATGAGCAAAGAAATGCTCAATATTTATGGTGTTTATCTCCTTGTCTTGGTGACCTCATCTTTCTCAGTTTTTCTTCCTTTTTGGATCATTCTGCTGGTGTGACCTTCACTTCTGCTCATCTCCCACAACCTTTATTTTCCTTACTCTTCAAACATTGGCTGAAGCACCCAACAGATGAAAAACATTTTAAGCCAGTGGTTCACAACACACAGCAACGTGATTGTAAACAACTTAAAACATCAAGGGACTTGAACACCAGGAAAATAAAGTTTAAAAAAGTAGCAACTTGATTTTTTTGAGACCTTTTCACTGGTCCAGTTGGCTTTGAGTTTAACTACCACCTATAAATATTTAGGAACTACTTAGAAGCGAATAAAGAAGTCTGAAATTAGTTATTTGTTTCACGGCAAGACTGCTGAAGCAGTAAGTGTAAGTATCTTCAAGAAATGTGAAAAATAAGTGCTCCTCCTTATCAGTTCCCTTCCTCTATTTTGCAGAGCAGTGGATTTGTGGTGGGGTTGTTCCTGGACCGCAAGCGTGGATCCTGATCCTCAATCTGGCTGCCTAGTTGAGCCATTGCTGGCCACGTGCTTTTGCTTACTAAGAGCTATGAGTAGGAAGAAATGTTGAAACTTGAAAAACGTATGGATGGACTTTGCATAAACGTGGGAGAGAACGCCAGTCAGTCAAATGGGATTTATCAGCTTTCGCTGTGTCCACCGAATCGATAGAGCCGAAGTTTAAAGTTCTCATGAAGAAATCCTGGCCTGAGTAAAGTCAGCGGGGATGTTGCTGGGGCAGAAATTAATCCTCCCCCCACTGCCCACCCCCCTTTAATGACTGTATAACCTCAATACATTCTTCCTGCTCTCCTCGGGTGAGTAGAATCCAACGCATTCTTGCTGGATTCCCATGGCAAACTGATCTGGCTTGGCACAGCTCCTGTATCGCACTAGGCGTTTCTCCCGGGTCCCGAGTGAACGGCCACCCAAAAGCGTCGCTTTCTGCCTTTGGGGTTTCTCTGAAAGGCTCAGGGGTTGCTGAACATGGAGCCCACCCGGACTTGAGGACAGACTGCTGCTGGAAGCGGTTCCCCAGCACAACCTCAGGCGTTACAACACGCGGCGTCACCACCATGGAAGTTAACGCCGTGGTCTCATTCCTCCCAAAAAGGGGGAAGAGGGGAAATCCCTGCACCGTTGTGTGGCCGGCCCTGCCTGCAGATTGTCTTTGGGATGGGTTCATGGTTAAAACCTTTTCCAGCAGCCCGCTGGCGTAAACCCTGGTGGAATCACTATGCGAAAGAACAAGACGCAGATACGCAAACCAGGCTGGAGATAAAGGTATGAAATGCAAAAAAAAATTGTGAAAGGCAACCTTATAAAAACCCAGCTCTGTGAGTGCCACGGAATGGGGTTAATGAGGTTAATGAAGCTAATGAAGCCAATGGTCCCCCCGCAGACCCTTACCTGGGCTCCCCAGCCCCAGAGGAGGCAGAAGCACGCCACCAACAGCCCCCTCATGGCCCAGCTTCCCCCCGGAGGAGCCCTGCGGGTGCTGCAGCTCGCCCCCGGGCAGCTCCCTGTCTAATTTTTAACCACACCAGCCCCGTTCCTCGTTTATTTACTCATTTATTCATTTATTTATTTATTTATATTTATTTTTGAAAGCGGCGCATGGGGGAGAGAGGGGGGAGCCTTAACCATTAACCCACGGCCCCGCCCTGCCCACGCGGCTCGGTTTGGGTCGTTTTTACATAAGAAAACGCAAAAAAAAAAAAAAAAAAAAAAAAAAAAGGGGGGGGGGGAGAGCCCCCCATTTCGCGACGCTGTCGCGCGGCCCCGGCTCTGCTTTACGGCAGGCGGCGCGCTCGGCGGCCCGCCCTGGCAACGCCTCACAGCGCCCGCGTGGGGCTGCCGTTAGGGCCGGTAAAGCCGTTAGGGCCGGTGGGGACCGGCAAAACCGCCCTTGAGGTGAGAGGGAGAGGCGGCCCTGAGGGAGGCTGGGTGCGGTGGAGGGGCTGGGGGTGGCTGCTGTCGCCTCATGTCTGTCCCGCGTAGTTTTAGCCGGGGTGGAGGCGGCAGGCAGCACGCGGGGCCGCCGGTGATGGCCTCTGTTCGTGCTCTGATCCGTAATAAATGTCCTCTGCTCCTTCACCAGGTGGTGCCCTGCCGTCGCCGTTCAGGAGGAGGTAGAGGATGGCTTTCCGCGGGAGAGGAGGAAGAGGTGGCGGAGGAGGAGGAGGAGGAAGAGGAGGCGGCTTTAATCGCGGAGGAGGCGGCGGCGACAGAGGGGGCTTTAACCGCGGTGGGCGAGGGGGCTTCGGACGGGGAGGCGGCCGAGGAGGCTTCAACAGAGGTGGATACGACCAGGGGCCTCCAGAAACGGTAGTTTGTAAGTTACACGGAGAGATTTTATTTCCTTAATGTAAAGGGGCTATTCGAGACCTTCAGCTTGTTTGTGGTTTATTGCAGTATTGGGAGAGTTCATGCATCCGTGTGAAGATGACCTCGTTTGTAAGTGTAAAACAGAAGAGAACAGGGTGCCTTACTTCAACGCGCCCGTGTACCTGGATAATAAGGAGCAGATTGGCAAAGTGGATGAAATCTTTGGGCAGCTAACAGATTTTGTATCCTTCAAAAATATGTGTGACGTGGGGTTTGCTTTTTTAAGGCCTGATTGACTGTTCAAGAGGTTTGATGCAGAATTTGGAAACAGTTCATTTTCCTGTCCCTCTCTAAATGGGGAGTAAACACACAGGTTTAAAACCTTCTCACAGTCTGAATGTATTAGCTTACAGATTTGCTTTCTGCATCAGAATTGAATTTCAGAAACTTGTTTTCCTGTTACAGTGTACGAAGAAATAAAAAGGGAGCTAGAGTGCATTTTGCAGCTCCTTGGTTCTCCATTTAATCTTGAGTTTTATTGAGCAGAGCTGGCCAGCAGCAGCTCATGGTCTTTGGAACTACACAAAAATGCCCTTACACACTGAAGAGCCACAGGATAAGTACAGGGTTGCCCGTGGAGTTGCACGGTGTCTACCACATCCCTGTAGGATAAGGATGAGCTTGTGGTTGGGTCGAGCAGCCCCTGCTGCCTCATCTCATCCCCCAGCCAGGCAGTCATACAAGCCAGCACAGCGCTAGCAAAGGCCGTGCAGCATCTCTGCTGTTCCAGATGCACCCTGTGGTCACCCTGGGGCTATAGAGATAGGTACTGGCCAAACAGATTTGTTTCTTTACGATTACATTTTTATATACTCTTTTCACCACTATGTTCTTTTTTTATGCCTCGATACATGGGAAGAAAAACAAATTTACCACAAAATACGGTGTTTGTAACCATGAGAAAAATTAGAAATGGGTGACGTTTAGCTTCTTTTCTAAAACGATAATTTATATATTGTCTGAAATGTTTAAATTCCATTGTGTGATAATCAAAAGTGCTATTCAAATGTTTTGTTTCTGATGTGTTCCTTAATGAAACTCACAGTATTTTTCAGTGAAATTGTCTGAGAACATGAAAGCTTCTTCTTTTAAAAAAATGCAAAAGGTTAGCCAACCTCAATAACACAATTCTTGTGTATGTTATCAGTTAGATATGTCATCAGTTAGATTATACTTTAATAAGAGTTTTTATTGACTTTTAAAGCTATGTGTACTTAGAAAATGTTCATTTATTCATCCTTCTCAATTTTGCACCTTTTATGCTCTTCCCTCCTAAAGAACAAAAAAAGGAAGAAAGATGTAATGAATGAAAGGCATTAAATACAAATATCACCTATATTTTAATAATTTCCTAACATTTTATTATTCTAACAATGGGTTAAGATCAGACTGTGAGCGTTTGTAAAAGAAGAGAGATGTTAAAGTGCCCTTTAACCTCAGTATTCTCAAAGCCTAAAGTAACTCTTTTCCTGCAGTTTTACATTGATCCAGCAAAGCTGCTCCCCCTTCAGAGGTTTTTGCCAAGGCCTCCTGGAGAAAAAGGTGCTCCCCGTGGAGGTGGTAGAGGAGGACGTGGTGGTGGACGTGGAGGAGGAAGAGGCGGAGGCAGAGGTGAGATCCCAAAAATGAAAGCCACAAAACATTTGCTTGTTTGTTTTTGGTAAAGTTACAGTTAAATGGTTGAATCAGCAGTTGTGTTCATTAAAGAGAAACATTATGCATTTTTCTCTTTGATAGCTCAGTGGAGGAGATAGTGACACCTTTCCAAAGGCAGGAGCTTGTTTTTGTACCTAGCTCAGTAATCGCTTCAAAATGCAGGAAAGAGAGTACACTGATACATAACGAAGAGAGAAAGCATGAGCACGAATCAACTTGTGGTAAAAGGCAGTGGATTATACCCACACAAACCAGCAAAAGCTTCATTCGTAATATACTCTAAAAATCTAGTTTGGACAAAATACTTGAAATGCAGTGTTTTGAGAGAAGAGGTGAAGATATGGTAGATCTCATCCTTCTCTGCTTGTTGATCATGATCTGTAGTGTACTACTCGGTTTATGCTGGAATTAAGTATTTTTTCTTATTAGATTTTTTCTCTTTCCTCCCCACCCTGCCCCCTTGTGTGCGGGGAGGCACATATACTTCAAAATTCTTTAATCTATTGATTTCACATATCACAGTTGTGGTTAACTTTTTTTTCATGACGGCCAACAATTACCTTGGAGTTTCATTAGCGTGTTTAGAATTCTAGACACCGGGTACTCAACAACACCTAAAATGCTGCAGATCTTCCCTCGAAGAGAAGGTACCAGGATGACACAGTTAACCATTTCTGGTTGGGTTTGGTTTTCTTTTCAGAAGCTGTAAATGAATTGTTACACTTCTTAGGAGTGTGTAAATTCTTTGTTATGTTTAATTTCTTTCCTCTCTTCAGGAGGAAGAGGTGGAGGAAGAGGAGGAGGATTCAGAGGAGGTGGAGGAAGAGGAGGAGGAGGATTCAGAGGAGGAAGAGGTGGTGGAGGAGGCTTTCGGGGTAAGTGTGCAGTTCTTATATTTCCATAATAAGAAAAGCTCCCAATTTATAAACTTTTAAATATTAAACATATTTTTATTTCATATCGGTGTTCATAGTTTTATACAAAAAGGTTGCTGTGCATCACAGTAGCTAGCTTAAACCAAAGCTCAGTATTCTGTGTTTTTTTGATGCTTTGTAAAAACCATGCTAGTTTCTGCATGAAAAAGGACTATAAGTTGAAGAGTTAATAATGAAGAATTATTTCACCAATTCATATAGTTTTGTGTATCATTTATTTGCTTTAAAAGCATTGAGGTTGTGAATTAATCAGTCTGTTTTTCTTTCTTAAAATAGGGAGAGGATATTAAGAACAGAACAACGATTATCTTCCTGCTGTCTTACCGTATCATCTACAGAGGTGAAAAGCAAGAAAAAAAATCCTAAAGGATCCTGAAAATTTCTTTTTATAAAGAACTTGAAACTATGAAATGACCATTATTGTTAATGACTATTTTTCAACATGGGAAGAACTGAAGCTTGCTTCGAATATCCCTCAACGTTCTAAACTAAGCCAAGATTCAATGTTATTCTTAAACTGCTTCTGACAAATGACTTAGCCAATGCTTGACTTCGTGTTGGAGTCTGGATTAAACAATCATTTGAAATCTTTTTTAGAAAAAGAAACACCCAGCAGGTTCACCACATGCACCTTTGTCAGTATGAACCTGTTACCATGTGTGATTGATCCCTTGTTCTTATCCCCTTTTTACATGGAGTCTTCTGGCTTGCTCTAAAATGGACGTGCCTTTCAAATAACCATAGTGAATTATTTTTTACCAACTTAAAAATGTTATGTTTACAGATTTTTTTATGCGTAATAACATACATGAGAAAAGGAATATGGCAAAGAGTATTTTATGGGTTTTTATGTATGAATCTCAATGAAAGCCAAAGGCATTAAACCTGTTCTTCTCAGAAGATACTGTCTAATGAACAAAACAAGGTTAATTCTACTCTTAAGTCACCTAATTGTGTCTAATTACACCAATACTAAACGTGCTAAGGGTTTTTAACTGTCCTCACCTCCTTAGCCTGTTTCTCTCCGAGGTTTTGATGTTCCAGTGCTCTGAGCTCGCAGAAGGCTGAGATTAAATAGCCCATCGCAGGGCTCCTCTGCATGCAGTGCTTTCAGTTAAGCGATTGCTTTAAAAAGCCTTGAGAAAGGCTGCACAAGCCTTCAGTACAGATTCAGGTCTTTTATCGGATGTATTGTGGGGGTGTCGAAAAGCTAATAACTATCTCTTACAGCATGGAGAAGCACCCTGTGTTTCTCTATCCTTAGCTTTGGAAATTGAATATGAATAGGGAAGTAGAATCTTCCTCCCTGGATTTCATTTGGAGTGGGGAGTGTTGGCAGACCCTCATAGCAAGCATTTTTGAAAAGATGTCTATAGAATAATCTAGGTCAAAAATATTTTGAGCACCATGCACAGTGTGGAAAGGTGTACATTTAGAAATTGATCGTGCTGTTACAGTTCCTAATAATGAGCACAGTTGCAGGAAAATGAGTTCTAGTAGCCTTCAGTGCCAGAACTGGACAGTTACTGGTCCCTTCAACAAACAAGACTCCTAGTTTTGAACCATCTTTGAAACAAAACTTGAAACAAGCTAGGAAGAAAGCTTCAAGGATTCAGTTACGCAGTCTGAACGCATGGTATGTAGGATAACAGATAAAAATGCTTTTCAGTAAAAGCAAAAATACATTGAAACTTCTGCTAGGTCTGCTTTTATAAGAAGAATTGGAGTCTACTATTCAACCACAGCACAATTGGGAAGTAATAACAACAAAATAGTCGGTATCCCTTACTACACACTTAAATTTAATTGGGTCAATTAAATACAGACTTTTTTAAAGGTATTTAGACTGCTGTTACCATGTGTTGCCAGGCCTAAGCAACTTAGGGCTCTGACTTGAGGCATGGTACAATTAGAATTGCCCTTTATCCAGACAAAATCTTGCAGCTATTGGAAGCTCTCTCTGGGATACGACGTTGCAACTCAACAATACTGATCAACGATACTGCCTGCTCTCAGCCAGATGCTGCTGTCACCTTCCAGTTGCATCGATGCGGCAGCTGGGGAAGTGCCAGTACTGCAGCACAGGGCAAGAGGCATATGCTTCGACTCACAGCAGGTGGAGCAATGAGTCGGGCTCAAGTCTGAAGCCGTATTGCAAAGCAAAAGAAGACTTTCATGTCAGAGGGTAAAGAGCAATGTTAGCCATGGTAGTTCCAGAGAAAGATCTGGCTCTGATTGCAGGGAAGTGGATTATCTGCCTTACACCTGTAGGCTAGGTTGTATGGGACACACATCCAGAGAGAATTCGTAATCTTAAATCTTTGTGGAGGTTTTAGGACATTCAAATGCTGACGGAAGAATATCCTTAGCAATCGGGTGTGAAATGAGCTGCTGGATGAAGAAGCAGTGTCTGGATTCCTACGTTGATTTCTGCTGTGTGTCGTACCTGTCTTTTTTACAAGGTGCTGGGTAAGGATGTATTTAGTCTGGCAGGGCCCATCCAGTCCCAAGTCTGCCTTGCCACCTCTGTGCTATGGCACCTGATCCCACCTACCCACCTAACCTGAGCAGTTGCTAATTGTACTAGAAAAAAAAAAAATATTACTGTCGGAAAAAATGTCATTTCTTGTCTGCAACATGATGCTGAAATGAACTAAAATACAGGGTCCATGATTTTATACGCCGCCTTTCCCCCTCTCCTGAGCCTTTTGTTCCAGTCCTGTCTGTGGTTCTGTCGCTGTGCTCCTGATCCCAGTGTGCAAAGTGTTTGGGTTTTATATTTGTGCAAGTCATACTGCAGTCTGAAAGTGGGTGCGGGGAGGGGTGGCTTAATGGTGCTGAAGGCTTTCAATGACAGTTTGGTGCTCCTTAGATTTCTCCTCCCCAGCAGCATCCTCGGGGGCAAATATTTGGGCCACCTGAAGAGCCTCCTGAGCGCCCCTTGCTCTGGCAGCGAGGTAGGAGCTGCAGAATTTCTCTGAAGCTTAGGAGCAGCTTCAGCACGCCCCAAAAGCTTGGCTTCCCCGCCCAGGACCCTCGCAGTAGCGGTGTCCCATACCTGTGTCCTTGCGTCCTCATCAGTGCCTGCACGTGCTGGCTGCTGGCTGGGGCAGCGCATCCGATAACCAAGCCCTGCTCTCCGAACGCGGTTGCAAGTGAACGTGTTGGTCACCGCAGCATTTGACCCAGGCAGAAGGTTTAACTTTCAGCTGACTGGCAGCTGCTGTATCACTGCGATCAGATTGCTTAAGGTATCTTGAACCTGTTGGCTGTGCCGCACTCGACTTCTGGTTTTCTATACGTATAATTTTAACGTGGGATCTAAATTTTTGCTAAACAGAATAACACACAAAGTGTATAGTAAAGCTCCCTAGCTATTGAGACTGAGTGTCTCTAAAAGTCCTATCTGGAGGGATGTTTCTCTCCTTGTCTCTTCTGTAGTTGCTGTGGAAGGATTGTTTGATAGAGCTCACACATTTATGTTACTTTGACAGAAATTTGACAAAGTGCAGAAGATAACTGGGATGTTTTAACCTAGGGCTGCAGCACCGGCTGTTGTAGAACAGAACGATTCCCTCTAGCACTCACAAGAAGCCGTGGACATCTTCCTGAAGCTGTACTTGACAGTCACTTTTACAGTGGTGCAGAGTTACTTTCAGTAGTGCCAAGTATTGTCTTGGCAAGAAAAGGTGTACTGGAAAATGGATGGTTAATGGATCAAGCATGACAAGTAAAAAGGTTTTTGGAGTCCCTTACGTTTTTCAGGGTGTTTTGTTCAGCCAGCTAAAAGTCTTTTGCTTACAGACTCAAACTTTTCTAATCAGCAGTTTAAATCTAGGGACTTTGTGTGGGAAGTAAAAATATAATTTATTACATTGTTTGCCTTCAGTTTTGAACCATTTAAATGTTTATAGAAGTAAGATTAAAGGGAAGCACTGCCTTATACAGCCCTCTAGTGTTGATGCACTTAATAAACGTGAGATAATTTCTTTTTAATGCAAACAGAAAATTTCTCTACTCTTATACCTGTGGATTGAAATATGTTTTTGAATACTTAATATGTAACCGAAATGTTTGCAACTTGCTAAGCCCTGTAATGAGTCTTGCATTGCCCTGTATCTATACAGGTGTCTACAAATTGAAGAATCGACTCAAATAGAAATTGCATTTTGTTCCTACTGACCTTGGCCAAGTAGAATGGAAAAGCTCTGTCGTTTGAGGTTATTTGTATATTTTAATAGTGAATTCCTCTATATTTTGGCTTTGTTTTATAAACTGTTACTTTTAGGTAATGTCTTTAATTTTGACCTTTTTCCTCTCAGTTCCTGTTACGTTAATATCAGCCAAATTTAAGCAGAGATGGAAACAGGATGGACTGCACATATTAGAAACTCTGATTTTAACCAACAGGTGTGTATAAAATCTGCATGGTCTCATTAACTCCGCTACCCGAGTCCAGAATCCGATCTGAATACGAACAGAGATGCTTTGCTTTTTGAGGCAGTCAGCATGGCAAGCTCCAAGTTCTGTGGAAGTTCTGAGCTTAGAGATGCTTTTGTAAACCTTGCCAAAGTTTCAGGGGAGGAGAGTGAAGGTATAAAATTTTCATTATGCTTTTATCTTTCATGGCAGGACAATGGGGCGCTAGGGAAGTAGCTTTGTTGCTGAACAGGTCATTTCCCCTTTCGATCCGCTCCCACCCTGATCCTGCCTAGTTCGTTTCTGGCAGGAAAAATAGTGTATTGATACGATTACCCTGGGAAATAAGAGTGCATGAAGGTAGTTCTGTGCCATTAACACCTTCGCTGGTAGAACTGTGACTTGTGATCTTCTGTAGCAATGACAACAAATTGTCACGACTGCCTAAGTTTTAGATCAACATTTACTTACCTTTGGATTGAAGTAGCCGAAAGACAGAGGATGTCTGCTTTGGAAAGCTGAGGAGAGGGAGGGAAAGCTTTAGGGGTGTTTCACAGGTTAGAGATGAGTAGCACTGGTTGGTTGTCCTTGTGACTTTTATCCCCGCTATAGGAACAGAACTGCAAAGAGGGGAGCTGGAGGTAAACAGCTTTGATTGCTGAGACTGATGCTGCATCTAAGCTCTGGGCAAGGGTTTGTTGCAGCTAATATTTACACAGGGTTTTGCACAAGGCCTTGAGCATCTCGCTGGTGTGCTGGTACCTCATCACCGAAGAGAAGAAAACAATCTCCCACTGCTCAACCTTTTGGAAAATGTCTAATTATTTTCTGCTTAGGAAAACTTGCCCAAGCCTACCTGTGTGTGTCTGGGAGAGGAAGTGTCTTCAGGGTTGCAAGGCACGTTTAACACCTGTTCTCTGCAGACCTGGCTGCTTGAAAAATATAAAAATTGAATTTTCTGAAAGTCACGTTTTGCTTTAGGAAATACGGGGCTGTTCTTGTGGGTGTTGTCAGTCTGAGTGTTTAAATCAAACCAAGAGTCCTGAAGAGGAGAAAGTCTGTCTTTATGTATTTGAAGGGATGGACTTCAGAATAAACACACCATGCTTTTTAAAGAAATCACCATTTGTGCTTTTCTGCTGTGTGCTCTCTGGTGACTGGAAGTATTTCCGAGCCAGGCTGATGACCAACTGACCCAAGTCAATTTTTACTGAGGTTTCTGAAGCATTGCACAAGAGGTTTGAAGCAAAAAGTCTGGGGGCATGTGACACTTAATCTCTTTAGCAGTAAGAATAAAGTTTAAGTATCCTGTTGGAAATGTACGCAGTTCTGTGCTGTTCTTTGTTTTAATTAACGAGCTTTTCTCCTGCATAGATTGGGAGCGTAAACTTCTTTGCACTTTAGTCCAATTAAATCATTCTTGGAGGCTGTCAGTGGTGGGGCAGCTCTCCCCCGCCTCTTTTTTTTAATTGTTCAGTGAGTCTGTTGGATAAGGAAAGGATTTGCCTGACAGGGCTTTGTAGCGTTTCCTCGTCTTGATGAGCACTTGCAGAGGACAGACGACAAGTCTCTTTTGTCCAAAATGCATTGGAATGATTCATCCGGTTCCTCACAAAGTGACAATGAAGCTCATTCAGCCTTTACACAGACTGAGCACAACATAGTTGCAGCTTACTTAATAACAGCAGGTATGGGCACTGGCAAATAACTTTATTTTTTTAAAATGGAACTAGATTTGAATGCTCATTCTGTGTAGTAGCAGCGATGGTATGTCATTTTTGTGTTACACACCTCTGATAGCTTTTATCCATAGTTTTCTGACAATAATCGGGCTGAACAAAGCGTGTAGAAACATAAGTTTTCTGGTCTGTGTTTGAAGGCAGTGTTGTGTGTTGAAAAATACATTTTGTTGATATGTAATTATAGAAGAGTGAGAATTAACTTCTGCCAGCTTGCAAAAGAGATAAAAATAGGACATAGCTGTCACATCTTGCATTTTTCTGTGATGTGCTTGAAGCTATCTTGAGATTTCTCTTGGGCCACATGTTCACGGTCATATACGTGTAGTCTGAGCATGTGAGGGGTGTCTCTTGGGGGGATGTAGGGGAAGGGTTGGAATGTGACTGGGAGGGAGGGAGCTGGTCATTAATCAGGGAAGAGCAGACTCCACCTGCAGCTGTATTTTTCATTGATGACACGTTGGAAAAAGCACACTGGAAGGCTTGACATTTTGTGTTGTCTATGACTGCAACGGCCTCTGGCTAAACTTGAATGATTATGGATTTTTTTTGGAAAACATTCTTATTGTTATAGCTGCAAGTGTTTCAGTGATGTTTTTTTTGAACCCTTGACTGCTGTAGCAAAGAAATATCATCCTGACCAAATGCTGAAACCTACAGTGTTTTTGAAAACAGGCCTTCTGTATTTTTATAATGTAAAATTAAATTTATAAATACTTTAATTATAGACTGTATTGCATCGTACATTTTCTACATTTTAATTGCCTTTTGAATTCCTTTAAAATATTAATGTACTTGGGGTTTATATGAAATAATGTTGATGATGGTCACATTTTATTTAGCATATCTGCTTGAAGTGGGAAGTATCAAATCCCTGGTCTCATAAAGGAAATTTTTGAATGCAAAGGCAGTAGGTATTTTCAGATTTTTACAGAAATTGGTAGAGTAGTTACACAGCTCACTAGACCTGTTGAGAAGCTGTGGAGATGGACGGTGGTGAAGTATTGGAAGACTCGACACACTCTGCAGTGCTACCATACTATTTGCAGGTAACTGGCTCTGTTAGCTGCTGCAGATACATAGGATACTTGGTTATATTTTAATTACGATGGATTACACTGTATGTAACGAGGTGGTCTTTTCAGATAGATTGACCATCTGGTGTTAACGATAAAAGCTATTGCACTGTTAGCAGTGGGGTTAGCAGTTATGGAAATTAAATGTCTTTAAAAAGTAAACAAACAAAAAAAAGCCACCTTGGGCTTATTTCATATTATAATTGGGGAATCTAATAAGTCTTTTGGCTGTGACTTGACCTTTGCTTTCTTTGTGAGGAATGTTTTTGACAGTAAGGTCTATAGCATCTTTGAAAGTCTGATTGTTTGCTTTTCAAATGCCTTACCACGTGGCAAATCTCACATCTGGAAAATGTGTTAATAAGGAGGTGTCCAAGAAAAAAGAATGAAGGATAGGTACAGTGTTGCTTTTTAAAAGGCTTGAACACTTATTTCTTTAATAAATAATTGCTTTGTTTTCTGGGAAAGAAGTCATTGCTAGGTACTACAGTCTGCAGTGGTCAGCATACTAATTTTAGTGACGACAGCAGGCATCAGGGAGAAGCCGTATGGTTATCCTCCACCTTGTAATGGTGAAGTGCTCTGGTATAACTTCTAAATGCTAACTGGAAAAGTAAATTCCATGATATACGTGGACCTAACCTACTTTATTTTGATGCTACTACCCACGTGTCCTGCTGTGCTGTTGGGGCTTGTATTTGCATGCAGTCTACCTTTAGTTTTCGTTGCTTCACTGGGAAGAGGAACAATAAGAAAATTTTCTGTTCCTGATCAAGTCATATATGAGGTTTTTATCTGCATATTGAAAAAATCACAAGATTTAATGGGAAAAATGTGGCAATAGTTGTCTAGCCCTAAGATATTTCACAGGCCAAATGGCAGCATCTGCATGCTGCTTCTGAACCCAATGAGTTTGTCCTGGCTGACAATATCAGGTTACTAAAAGTCTTGGGCTCGCTCTGCGCTCTCTGCCCTCTAAGAAATGAGCTCTCGTTAACTGCTGCCTGGAGAAACTTGGTTCTTCTATTTGACCTCTTTCTCAGAGGGGAAAAAAGCCAGCTGTTGCATATACATGTGTTTTCTTGCTTTGTTTGAGATTGAATCTTTTTTCTAGATTGTTTTCCTTGTCTTTTTCTTCTGAAGATTATGCTCTGAAGCACTAAATGTGTCTAGCAGGATCCTTCCTTTCACCTCAAGTCTATGAGTTTACAGTTCTGTTGTATCCCTGATTTCATTCTTGGGAGCTGTAAAATCTGTTAAAGCATGTCTTGTAAGAAGCCTGTACTGTTTTGTAAACTTGTGAGTCGTGTTCATCCTATCTCCCAGGAGACAACGCTACCTGTCAGCAGAGAGCTGGCAGAGCTGGCATTGGAGGTGCTGCTTGATTCACATCTGGTCCCTAGCTTCCTGCTTTTGTTCATTTTAGGGGCTGATGGCATCACAGTGTTCCTGAAATGTGTGAAATACAAGTAGGTGGTGGCGTCTGTGTGGCTATGCACCTCCAGCATCATCTGTAACGTTAGTTTTATGTAGGCAGGGGACTTCTACCTGAGAAAAGACATGCTTGTTTTTTTTTTTAAAAAAAAAGAATGGAAAAGAGAAATAGCTGCGAATTAGTTATAATTTTTCCACTTTTAATTTTAAAATCAAATCAACTGAATCTCTTAAATGAGCTTCTTTTAAGAATGAGCTTCTTTTAAGGGTGGGCAACAACTGAAAGAAGATGGGTGTGCTCTTCAGAGTTGGAGAGGAGGTGAGGGTGTGAAACTCTTACCCTGTGCCTGTCACGGGACCTGTGAGAGCAGTGCAGACCTTATTTCGCTCCTGAGGGCAAAGGTTGGGTTTCACTCTGCCGGGTAGCCTGCTGTTTTGATTTCATCAGAGCCTGATTGTGTGTACTTCTCTATGTCTGCTAGGCTGTACAGCTGTGGGAATAAGGATGAAAAGTTAAAATCCTGTGTAGAGCCAGATGCTGTGATTTTGTTTCCTTGCACTACATCCAGGGTGACAGCTATTCACTCAAGCTCCTTTCAGAATTACCCCTCCAGTTCTGTAAAGCTGAAAAGTACAGCGTTTTGCTTCAGGGGTGAAATGTTTTAACAAAAATAAATAAATAAATAAATAAATCTGAGGGGCATTTCCATGGATACTGTGTTGTTTGACTTTTACCAACGTAACATTCTTCTCTGCACTTGTAATGTAAGGTGCTCAAGTTATACAAGTGTCTGTAAGTTTAGTATTTGGTTCAGTGATATTGTGACTGCTGTATGAGACAAGGAAATCTATGAGCAACTTACAAATTCCTGTTACTATTTACTTTTTTTTTTTTTTTAATGGCCATGTTTTCTTGAACATTCTGGAATTCTGCTTTTCTGAGAATAAGGTTTATGAGTCTTTGTTGAGGTGCAAAATGGTATTTGTAACCTTATTGGCTCTTGTTATTAATGATGGGCTGGTACAAGTCTACAGGATAGTTGTTTGCTCTGAATGTTTCTGAGTCTAAAGAGAATGAAATCAGAACAAAAAAAAAACACCCCATTTTGTGGGATTGCCATGTAAACTTATTTCAAGGGCCAAGCAGTAGGATTTGGCTAGAATAGGGAGGAAGAGACAGAGAAAAGAAGAATGTGGGGTTCTTAATATAGGTCACTAGGATTAGAAAAAGCTTGGAGGAGGGTGTAGATGCTAGCTTTAGTACTGTATTTCTTTATTACTATTCTTAGGCAACGCAAGAAATTGCCAGTAGACAAATAGTCTTCGGGCACAGTCCAACTGTGCTCAGTGCCACCTGTGTTGCACCTTTCTGAAGAATTTAATTGTAAAAGCACTTACATTGGGGTTCGGGGAATGCTTATTTTTAACTTTCTGGGGCACATGGAGCTTGGGTTCTGGAGCCCTAGTTCTGCAAAGAAAGCAGAGGCCAAATGTGTGCCAGAAAGGAAAGAAACAAGGTAATAAGACCAAGCCCTGCCATAAAGGTTTGCAATTACAGGGAATTGTGAGGCAGGAGGGTTTACAGCTGGGCTTGTGCCATGGTTGTGATGCAGCCCTAGAGCTTGGAGCTGGTCGGGTGAAGAAAACAGCTCTGATGCAGGCCCAGCTAGGCCGCTGCGGCAGGCCGCAAGGATCATCCACGTTGCTTGATGAGGCTTAAAAAATGTGTGGCTTGCAAGTTACCTAATAAGAAAAGCTTTTCTCTCTTTCAGGTATCTTTCTGCTTTGCAAAACTGTGCCTGACTGAATATAAAACTTGTTGAGTACATAAATATTGCAATAGGCTGCGTCTTCTTTTGTAAGTGCATTGCTGGCTTGTCTTCATCTTTTGTAAAGTTTCTCTTTCTGTTTCTACAGGAGTGATAAGCATTTTCAGTAACATTGTTGTGCTAGGGATCTTTGTTAAGTACAAAGAACTTCGGACAGCAACCAATGCAATTATTATCAACTTGGCTTTTACTGACATTGGCGTCAGTGGCATTGGCTACCCCATGTCAGCTGCCTCAGACCTTCATGGAAGCTGGAAATTTGGACATACTGGATGCCAGGTATTGTAATTCAGGCAGGGAGAAAGTTTTGAGCACTTTAACACAAACTGAGATATGAATAATAGCTCTACTTGATAGTAGTTCCTTTAAGAGGTGGAGATGCAAAATTTGACTCTCGACCTGCAGCTAATGTTATGTGAAATGAACAATTTCTGCATATTGGATCCGATTTTAATTCCATTCCAAAATTATAATTTCAAGCCTGAAAACTTTGACGCAGTAACCTTACATTTATCATCCAGAGATATTTTAAAATAGCTTTAAAAAAATCTTAGGACATGAAGTCCTGAAATGAAGAAGGTTGTAGTTTGACTCATTTGACTGAGTTGGTTGTTAAAAGACTTTGGATATGGCTGCTGTTTTGGTGGTGAGCATGACAGACCTTAATGGGTTTTGCTTAACAAACATATCTTCATCAGGATGGGACTAAGGATTTCCCAGGTGTAGGCCTGCAAGGCTATTAAAGGGCTCCATTAAAGATCTGGCTTAGCTTTAATAGCTATCTATTTTTTAAAAGTTCAGACTAACTGACAAATTGTGCTTCTCTAGCAGAGAGTGCCATTTGCTCACCGTGTGTTGTGATTTAAGTCTACTTTTAAACAGGCTGTTGGGCTTAAGTGCTCAGAAAAATGAGTAGTAATATGAAGGTATGTGCTGAAAATGTTATTTGAAAAAAATATTAAGAGCACTATATATTTTTGGCCTGCATATAATAGGTATTTATAGCAATCTGACATCACCTGCCTGGGTATCCAATAATTTCAAGCTCAAAATTCTTTAACATTCTTTAACAAGAAGCCTTACTTTTAATATCCTTGGATCAAGACTCACAGTGGGTTGAAGTTGATGTGAAATCTCATTCCCAAAGCTTTGGGAGTTCTTGAGGTCATATGAAGCACAACCCATGTCAACGTAAACCAGATGAAACCTTCTTTAGGAATTTTGATGAGCAAATAGGAAGGTTGCTTATGAAACATTTAGTTTTAAATGAGCTACCTCTACGTTGCCTGCATTGAATTAGTTCATTCTGTACTCTTGTTTACAGAAGAGAACGCTGTCTGAATATAATGTATCATAGTGCTTTAGATTCAGTTCACAAATTTATGTTTGTACCTTTGAAAGATTTCTCAGAAAGGATATGTTGCTTATTTATTTTTTAAATTTCAGATCTATGCTGCCTTAAATATCTTTTTTGGGATGGCGAGTATTGGTTTGCTCACTGTTGTTGCAGTTGACCGTTACCTGACAATCTGCAGGCCTGATATAGGTACTGTATTTTTAGTCAAAAATCACTCACTCGCAGGCTTCTATGAACTAAGACTCAAACTGTATCGTTTTATTGTGCGTGGCAACAGTTTGTGATTGTATGTGTTCCTTTGCAGGAAGAAGAATGACTACCCGTACCTATGCTACCCTGATCCTTGCTGCTTGGATAAATGCCGTCTTTTGGGCTTCCATGCCCACTGTAGGCTGGGCTGGCTATGCTCCAGATCCAACTGGAGCAACATGCACAGTCAATTGGAGGAAAAATGATGCGTAAGGTTCCTTCTCACCCTTTCTTTTAAATTCCTTCTTATTGAGGGTTCAGACTGTTTAATTTACTACTGTATTAAACAAACAAACAAAATCACACACAAAATAAACCTTCTTGCTGAAGTATGAAGCCTAATTTATAAAAGTCATTTAAAAGCAATGGAAATAACATAGAACAACTCCAGAAAATAAGTTAAAATAAAAAAATGAGCCATGCTTGAAAACTGCAAGACTTGTAGCTGCTAAAAAAAAAAAAAAAAAAAAAAAAAAAAAAAAATTCTTAATTCTGTAAAAGCTTATTTTGAACTTCATAAAGAAATCAAAATATTATATTCTTCAGTAACCTTTCACGGATGGATATTTGCAAGTTACTGTGTTTTGTTTTTCTGTCTTATCAGGTCCTTTGTTTCCTACACAATGAGTGTAATTGCTGTTAATTTTGTTGTACCCTTAACAGTCATGTTTTACTGTTATTACAATGTTTCCCGGAAAATGAAAAAATACACCAGTACTAACTGCCTGGAGAGCATCAACACGGATTGGTCTGACCAAGTAGATGTAACAAAGGTATGGTAAAAGAGGGCATGTTTCATTTTAAGCATGTTTTTTTTTTTTGCCCCAGAGTTCTGAGGGCGAAGGAACACTGCAGCCTCTTAAGCATTTCTGTTTCCTACATTCTCTCTTTTCCTTCTTTCTTACCAAATATTAACTGAAATTTAGCCTTGGTGAAAACTCCTGGTTTGACTTACAACACTAGATTCCTTACTCTTGGTGTAATACTCTTCCTGGACAAAAATAGCTACTTCGAAGGCTGGGAGCCATGTGAATTTGCCCTGCTGCTGTCCTCTGTCACTGCAGAAAATTGTACCTCAGAGATGTCCTAGGAGGATTCTCTAAGATAGTTTTACTCTTTTTGACTGCGCAGTCTTTAGGCGCTTTGCCAGGTTCACAGGTGTAACTGGTCAGAAATGGATTGGTCAACTCTGATTTACACTTACAGCCTGCAAATGAAAGCACATTTCTAAGCTCCCAAGCTGTGCAATTCCCCTTGTTCTTTTCAGTCTGTTGAGCTTATCTCTTTCTTAGGTAAAGAGTAGCAAATGTGAATTATGGCATAGAATGATACATCCTGCCTGGAAAGTTAACATTCTTTTAACATTTAAGAGTCCTTGAGAAATCTTTAAGTGCACTGGCTCCTTTGGTTTTGTGTAAATATATACGGTTTATGGTTGGAGTCAAGAAAAAAAAGCATAAAAAAAAAAAAGCCAGAAATTAGGAGTAGACTGAAAAGAATGTCCTTAATGTTAAAAACTTAACATTCCTTGGAAAATGTTCTCATTAATAAATTATGGAAAAATAAATTGACAAGTAGTACTTATGAACATCTCACATTTCTGAAGAAGTTTCAAAATGCTTTAAACTGAGGATTCAGTTATAAGTTTACACTGACATTTGTGAAGAAGATGCATTTTTCATGCTTTACCATTGACCATGAGTTACATTTAAAAAAAATAAAATAAAATAAAAAGACTGAAGCTTTGGAGTTCAGCATTATCCTTTGGAGCTGGATTGCTTATTTTTTCACAATTTGGCATCTTTTAAGCTTTCTGTGCACCAAACTCTTCTAAATGAAAGTGTTCTTTCATGTGAGAGTCGCTATTCTTTTGTAATTATCTGTAGATATTGTGTTTGTGTTTAAACAGGAATCTTCTGTGGAGAGAGTCACAGCTTACTTGTTGGTGATACTCTAGAACAGCTTGCACAAAATAGTTGTTTATTTCTTGTTTCTCATTTTCTCCCTCACTGATGGACAGAATATGGGTGTAGGTAAACAAAGCTAGGGCATCCTGTGCATACAAGGAGCCCTGCTGCTTTGTTTGGTTTCCTGGTGATTTGTTTTGTCATCTTGATTAATTTGTGATTTCCATTCCAGTTTCTGTTACTGATTTATGTCCCTGACAAAAGCCAGAGAATCAAGTGTTCCAGCTGATTCCACTCTTGTCCACTTGTGCTCTCCAGAATGAGCAAAATGTTGTATTCTGACCTCTTTTTCTTGATGTGTATCTCAGGTCTGTTTTGAAGGGGAATCTATCATTCTGGCAGAGCCTTTTATCTTCAGGAAACAGTTTGTGATGTTCTCTCTAGCAAGGTTAGAAAGTAAATTTTAGGTTACCTACACCTGAACAGAAAACAGAGGAAGTAGCTGGAAAGTGGTTAAACGAGGGTAATTTATGCAAAAGTTGGTATCTTCGATGACTTAGGTAATCTTGATTACCTGATCATTTTTAAATGTGGCATTTTATTTTCATAGATACCTACCCACTGGTGGATATTGGGGCACACCTTTTTCCAGATATATATGAGAATGAAAGCAAGGGTGCAGTTACTGTAACATGCATTTTGGAGTAGAGGATTTGCTGGTATCATGCAGTGCATTGCCACCTCTGAAGTGACAGCCATAATTCATGTGTGAAGTCTTCTGTGTCCCTTTAATTTTTGTGATGGATGAATTTACATAATCATTAATGCTAACAATGAAGAAAAATTGTATGGAACAAAACAACAGTGTGGCAAAATACAGCATAATGTGCACTTAAATCCCCAAAGTGAGATTTGATTATATGTCAAAATTTGTCAGATGTGCTTATTTACGTGTCATTATTTGGTTCTGGATAGCTGCATTTTCACACAGGTGCATATGCTTTTGTAGTTAGGTTGTAAGGCCGTAATATTCAGGTTATGTGTATATTCCTCTTGTTTTACAGATGTCTGTTGTGATGATTGTAATGTTTTTGGTGGCATGGTCTCCCTATTCCATTGTGTGTTTATGGTCTTCTTTTGGAGACCCAAAGAAAATTTCTCCTGCAATGGCCATCATAGCTCCTCTATTTGCAAAATCTTCCACGTTCTACAATCCATGCATTTATGTCATTGCAAACAAAAAGTAAGTGATCCTAAGTTAATAATGGTCTATTTCATGATTTTAGCATACCATGTAGCCATAGAAAGATCATCTGTAAAATACAACAGATTGGTGAAGAGGTGAAAGAGTAAGCTGCTGTTGATTTACCAAATATGACCTTTTGTACGGGAAAGTCTAAAAAGAAATTGTTTGGATCAGCATCAGAAGATAATAATTGATACAGATTTTTGAGAACGCATCATTGAAGATTTTGTACAGTCATTTTGACCACAACTCCTTGTGGTTTCTCAGAGGGACTCACTGTGGAAGTTGGGTTCATCAGCAGTAGACTCCTTATTTTAAGGATTAAGGTCAAAAATTGTAACATCTCAGTGATGTACAACTTCTAAGGAGTTCCTTTCTTGGTTTGGGATGTGCCACATGGTGATTGATTAGGATGGATTGACACTTTCCATTAAAGTGAGTAAGTTAAGCCTATTCTGCTGTTCTGAGCAAGTATATCAAATGCTCTAACTAAGCCATTGCACCCAAGTGGGAAATGGGTTTTGCAAGAAGGCATCCTTCCTTTCTGTACTACCAGCCTACAAGCAGAACTCGTAATCTTTTTCTAGGTTATCTGGTCTGATCCTGCTGAACAAAAGAAATTACATCATCTTTTTTCCTCAATTTGTAAGTTTGCCTTAGTTGTAGCTATACCCAGTCCTGGAATAAGCAAAAGCTACTTAAGGCCATCTTACCCACTTTTTATTTGTGCTTGTTTCTCCAGCTAATGACCTTTCTGATTTCCCTTTCTTGTCCTTTTCAGGTTTCGGAGGGCAATCCTGGCAATGGTGCGGTGTCAAACAAGACAAGAGATAACTATAAACAATGCTTTGCCCATGAGTGTATCACAAAGTGCACTGACATCGTAAAACTCATTTCATTTGTCTGAATAGATTATGTGGAATTGAGTCAAATCTGGGTTATAATTAATATTCTGGAACATCCATTTGCGTCTTTCATCCATTGGTTTTCTGTTAATCAAATTATAAAGTGTTTTTTAGATAGGTTAAAATTAATAATAATTAAAAAGAACAAAACAAAGCACTAAGACTTTAGTTATCAAGAATTAGGCTTATTGGCCTGATATTTCTGTCCCAAACAAAAAAGGAAGGTAAGCAAGGTGTTCAGTGTGACTCTTAGAGGGTTGGACAAGGTGACATTGGGCAGAGAGAAACTGAAGCAGGAAGTGTTTAGATTCAGTAGCGTAGATTTTGCACCTCTAATTCCTCTTGTAAATGACTTTCAGCTTCCCTTGAAAATTTCCAGATTTGAATTGTTGTGGATTCTCCATACTTGTATTTATTTCTATATCAAGTATCTGTATTGACAAGCCTTGCAAAGTTTTGTTTCTGTGAACATGTTAAGTTTATCAGAATATCTAGCTAAACCTGATGTCAGCTTTCAGGATTTTGAAAGAGTTTAATGACATTTCATGTATTTTTGAAGTTTTATCTCAGAGAATCAAATCAATTTGTGGGAATTGAAAACAGAAAATGAATTTGTAGTGCTTGTGACTGCATAGCAAATCCTGAAAATGAGACAGAATGCTCTCTTAAGCTTGACACTCAGATGGCACATAAAACTGAATAAATCTGTATGGTGATTTCTAAAATTTCTAAGTCAATCTCATGATTGTATAAGTCTGTTGTATATTTTTCAAAAAAATAACTTGCACAGTGAGAGCAATGAATTTATTCAGGATGACTGTGTATAGAGTTATTTATGGATGGGTATTACATGCATTCTTGATGATTCTCAGGTTTTGAGAATAAATATCTTCTCAATGGCCAATCCGAAGTCTGTGATCCTTCAGACAAGTCTCAGCCACTCTGACTTTATGCAGCTAGAATTAGTTTCCCAGGTTCTTGTTCTTCTAAGAGCTATAGTGTCTGTCTAATGAAGTGCCACGTTAAGTGATACAGTCATTTTGGAAAACTAAATATTCAATTAATTAATTTGTATCAAATATAGAAAAACAAAATCCAATGACATTATTTTTTTTGAGGCCTCCAAAAATGGTGGGAAAATGAAATTTTTTAGAAAGTGTATTTTAAACCTGACCACATGAGATTTAACTTCACAGGACTTTTGAGTACAATTTGCACTAACAGGTGATTCATTTTTATCTCTTTATTTTGATATTATTATATATGCATACACTTAAGTGTGGCTTTGAAGTGTGTAACCATTATTTAAAATATATGTGTGTTGTTGTGAAAACCCATCTCTACAAGATCTTTAGGAAGTTCTACAATCTAAGCTTCCTTTTAATTTGTACGTTTTAGTATTAAAATAAATGTCATGCGATATCCTCTTGCTGTACTAGCTTTCTTCCTGGACCCTTGTGGCACCTGTATGGACAGTAACTCCTCCAGAAGGAGCAAAGGAGTATTTTACGTACTAACCCTGCAACCACAACTGCATATTAAAATAGCCTTGAAACATGTCACGTATAATCTGAAACGGAGTGCCTTCTTCTGACATGGTAACGAACAAGCAGGTTCAACTGATCCCTTTCAGGATACGTTTGAAGGTTAAGCAACTTCAGATCTCAGCTAATCTGATGTAATCTGCTGTTACTAAATGGATGTCTACATTCACATTCCTAGCACACTGCACATGAGTGCATAGGAATAAAGTTTTCAAATTTTTTTTGTGTGTCAGTTCTGCTGGGAGGAAGCCATGTATCTGTTTTTTTACTTACACCTCATAATGAGCTTTCTTGAAGAAGCCTGTGGTTTTTGTCCTTCGCAATGCACTTGCATTTACCATGGCAGAAGTGATGGCACTGGAACAAGGTATGAATTTTATTATCTGTTATACAAGGCAAAAGGACTGAGGACACTGGAAATAACATTCTCTTGTACACTGCAAGTTACAGATTAGCATGGTTACTTAGAAATAATGGCATAATTTACTTTAGCGTTACATGGCTAGCAGTGTTCCTGAATAGGAGCAGATGGTCATTATGCTTTGTTTTAATGGCTTTGTTCTTAACAGCTAGCTACTCTAAATCTTCAGCTTTGGCACAAGGCAATTTTTATTTATTTTTCTGCTCCTTGATTTTCCTACTCCTTTAATGTCCTTTCTATTTCTACAAAACTGCTCGTCTACTGTAAAGTGATTCTGGTTTAAATAACTGCAGTAGATTCTTCTTTTCTTAATCTGCAGGAAAATCATATAACTGGGTAAGGAAGAATTAGGTTAATTTGATGATGTTGTCATGTCAATTTTGTGAGATACTGTTCCACCTATTTATTGTCACAACATATCTAGTATAAAGCTGCAGGAGAAGAAAGTAAAATAGAAGAAGAATATAGAGGAAAAGGTGGAGAAAATTAAAGATAGGTTTCTCGACGGGATGAGAATCTTTAAACTAATTGTGTGCACACAACATACCTGAAAGGAAGGGAAACATCCTGACTCTTGAAGATGCTGAGAAATCTCATTTCACTGAAATCATGGGAACAGAACATCCTTAGAAACTCTGAAAAGCAGGTTGTTGCTATTAACACATCAGAAATACAGCTAGAAATCTCTCATTTAGAGAAATAGGCTAACATTCTCAGTTTTTGGTTTATTCTGAAAGGTAAAGGAAGGTACGCAAAGACTTTGAGTGTTCACCATGTGGAAAAATTAGTATCGAATAATCTTAATTTTAGTAAAATATGTCAAGTAGCTCCCACTTGAGGTACATACATGTATTATTCCTTATATAGTTTCTTCTACTTTTCAGTTGCCAGTAAAATGATAGAAGATGGTGCTTATGCGGTTTAGAATAAGACAAATCTTGATGTCATATAGAAGTATCATTGCTATTTATATTCATTTTTCTCTTTAGAAAATCCACATTTGTCATCTTAAATTTTAAATGCAGACTGTTCTTGATTAGTCACTTCTTATTCTGCTGGTAGTGTTGCAGAAATTAATAGCACTTGCATTTAATTCAGAAATATTATTTGTGGTAAAGAAATGCAGAACTCTCTTTCTTATTTTTGTTGTATGATGCTAGGTCTGTGCTCTGCAATGACCCTGACATGTTTGAGATCCCCGTGAATGTTCCTGTGGACACTGTAAAACTTCGAATAGAAAAAACTGTCATACGAAGGATCCCGACCGAAGCCTTTTACTACCTAGTAGATCTCAAGTACCTGTGGGTAACTTACAACTGCGTGGCCAACATCGATATCAGCAGCTTCTACAACTTGAAGCAGCTGCATGAGCTACGGCTGGACGGTAATCTGCTCTCGACTTTCCCCTGGGAATCTCTGGCAGAGATGCCCAACCTGCGGACTCTTGACTTGCACAACAACAAATTGACCAGCATCCCGGCCGATGCTGGCAGGTACCTGAGGAACCTCACCTACCTGGACATATCCAGCAACAGGCTGACCACCTTGCCGTCAGACCTGATGGACGTTTGGCCCCCCTTCTCAGAAGCTGTCCCCCGCAAGAGCACGGACGTTCTGCAGACCCAGAGGGTCATTTTGGGTATGGTAAAGAGCCTCTCTCGTTCCTTCTTAATGTGTGCCTAAATGTTATGCAGCAAGGGGACCCACCTGGGATTCAGGAGGGTTTTAATCCAGGTCATCCTTCTGGTTTGCTCTGCAATTAGTTTATTTTCTGCTGGTGACAGAAAATTTTAAAACCAATTTTAAAACACTTGCAGCTGTTTTTTCCAGTGGCTCACAAGCCAAATGAGTAGCTAGAGTCAATGTATATATGAAATTCTGTCCTGAAATACAGTGCTGCAGAGAGTGGTGGTTTGAGAGAGGGCAGCTCTGCGCTTCCCATGACTCGTGTTGGCTTTGCATTACTTGCTCTAAAGCTGGCTGATTATCCTCAAGTTTTGCCGGTTTATGTTGTGAATACAAGAGGAAAAACAGGACTCTAATGCATTCAATTTCACAGTACTTTCTGTAGTATTTAAGGTGAGGGTTTAAGAATAGCTTGGCCAGACTGTCATGGTTCATAATTTTATTCCATCTCTAGTTTCTAGTAGACCACCACCATGTCAGTTCTTTTTTTTTTTTTTTTTTTTTTTTTTTGTGGCATTGCGCTCAATCTTACACTTTCTGTTCATTTCATAGCCTTTTAGGTAACCCTTTTCTGCTCAGTTTCAGAGCATGGCTGGATCAGGTCCATCAGTAGTTTTCTTTTCTGTCATGTGTAAGTGCATGTTTTGGCATTTTTGTAGTGTAGTGTAGCAGGCAGAAGGGAAAACCAGCGCCAGGTAATAGCTGGCTCCCCACAAACTAGCTGCAGGAGTGCTGTACCCATGGGTTGAGATCTGTCCTTGCCCTGTGCTGCCCAGTAGTCCCACCTTCTTGATCTGAAGCCACTACTCAGCGTTCATCTGTTCAGCTGCTTTGTTTCACAGCAGAAACTGTAACTCGAAGCTCTTTTTCAGATGAGATTGTGTGTAATTAACTTAATAGAGGCACGTGGGCTGAACAGGTTCCCCACATACATGGAACTGTAAATCTGCAGCATTGAAAGGATCTTGGTTTATGCAGGTTTTTTTTTTTTGTTTAAAAAAAAAAAAAGGCTGTAAGTCCAACTTGGTGTCCCTGTCCCCACACTGAAGGCTAAAGGAGGCAATAGCTTCGAAGCTGACTGTGCTGGATCTAATCCTCCTGATGATCTATATCCTCATGTGGGAATCCCAGAGGTTATTCAGTTGCCTTTTCTTACGTAGCCCTTGCTGCTGCTACTACTAAATAAATAAATATATAAAAAAATAAAAACCAACCAACCAAACAAAAAAAAATATATATAAACAAACAAACAATAAACCACACACTCTCCTCCCCTTGCCTGCCTGTCCCCCCACTCTGCCCACACATCTGCAGGCCCTGTTTGTGCACACACTTTGCCAGCTCCCTTTAGTCCTGGCAACCCCTCTGGTACAAGCACTGCCTTTTCCAGAGACTTAGGGTGCAACCTTTGGATCATTTTCCTTTATGAACTGCAACTGGGCACAGCTCCGCAGAGAGGAATGCGTGCCGGGCACAAACTGAGCCTTGCTTCTCCTTTTTTAATATTACACTCAGAGGGAGGCTCTGTGCAGTCATTATAGATTTGGATCTGAGACTATGGTTTGGTGGTATTTCCATCGTCTGTGTGCTGAGTCAGTCTACCTTAGGCAAGCTGTGGATAGCTTGCTGAATTTTCACTTGTTGATGCTATATAGCCTTCATATTCCTGCTTCTCAGGGCAGACATGCAGAGCTTGCTGTGTAAGAAACTCTGTAGTGAATAAAAAAAAAGAGAACAACTGGAGCAAGGTGTGACGTGGCTTCCTCCCCGACACCCCTCACGCCTCTGCAGGACTGCTGGAGGCTGAGGGAGGAGGGTCATACCCCACAGATGCTCCTTCCCCCCTCTGAAGTGGAGGCAAGGATCACAAGCACGCAATTAGGAGGGATTTCAAAAAGGCCTCTGTCCTGCTGGGGTGCAGATCCAGGTGAGCTGAGCTCTTGCTAACCTTTGGCCAAGCCCGTGCTGTTCTCCAAGCCTGCCGGCAGACCGCTCCAGAGCCTTCTCTGGTAACCTCATCCAGTGCTTATCTAGCAGCACAGTGAGAAAGTTTCTCTTAATATCCAACCCCAATCTCCCTTACTGCAAACTAAGCTGATTACCTCTTGTCCTACATGAGATGGGCATGCAGAAAAACGAATTGCCTTCTCTTACGGTAACCTTTCAGGTATTTCCCATTTGCCTTTTCCTTTCTCAGCTAGTCTCACCGTTTCTATCAGCTGTTTCTTGTCGACAACTGTGAGATTTTTCATTTCTTACCATATTTACCGATTCCCTCTAGACTCTTTTTAAAACTTTCTCTTAAAAACGTGATGCCCACAGTTGCACACAGCGCTCATTTTGGTGCCCAGGAGTGGTGCTCTGTGGGAGCGTTCGGTCTGGCCCGTGCACCTAGCAGGAATGGGAACTGCAGCCAGAGCTCTGCTAGGAGCTGGAACCCAGAGCAAATAAATGCTGCTTTTGTCTAGTCAGGAAAACAACAGTCGGATTCTGCTTAGTGCAAGCAATTAGGGCTTGAACTAGCTCCTCTCCTACTTCTGGCAAAACAAGATTGCCACTTGCATTTAATTAACAGCATCATCAACTGCAAAGCCCCCAAACTGATTTGTGCATACGTATTTTGTAACACCAGGAGGCAATTTTATCTGTAATGTCTTGACTGAGCATCAAGAGTTGCATGTAAGAGAAAGTTTATGTTCCCCCGTGTGCACTTCGAGGCCTCTTGGAGAAGCCATGGGCTGTTTTGGTGTCTCTGAAATGTAAGGGGGTGG